TTTTTACATCCTTTGCTTTTGTGACACCATCCTCACCTATGCTAGCTTTCGAGGCTCTTCAAGAAAATCCAGCTTAATCAACAGAACTTCATTATTTGCCTCCTCGGTTGCCCGGTATACCTTATGTTCAGTTCTCCAATCTCCACCGGAATCAAAGCTTCTACAGCGTACACAAGGGAATATGGTATTTCTCCCGTGCTTGACTTCACCATTGTTCGATACGCCCATAATACTCTCTGTAGCTCTTCTGTCCAATTACCTTTCGCATCCTGTAACTTCTTTTTGAGGTTTTGAATTATAACTTTGTTAGTTGACTCTGCTTTTCCGTTAACACTTGGATTATATAGAGAAGATGTGATCCTTTTAATCTTCAATCCTTCTAGAAACTTTATGACTTTGGAACCTATAAGTTGTGGCCCATTATCACAAATAATTTCTTTTGGTACTCCAAACTGACAAATGATATGATCCCATATGAAATCAATCAGTTCTCGCTATCTAATTTTTTTTGTAAACACTCGCTTCAACCCATTAAGTGACATAACCAGTTAAAACCAAAAGAAATTTTTCCTGCCCGGGCCCTTGAGGTAAGGGACCAATTATGTCCATCTCCCATTTCATAAATGGCCACGATGACACCACTGAGTGCAAAAGCTCTGCCTGTTGATGTACTAACTGCACATGACGTTGACATTTATCATATTTTTGTGCAAATGCCTTCGGGTCTTGTTCAATCCGAGGCCAATAGTAACCGGCCCTTATCAATTTGAGAACCAACGAGTACGCACTAGGGTGATTTCCGCACACTACTTCGTGAACTTCTCTCATCATATAGTCATTCTTTGATTTCATAAAAACCGAGCCAGTGGTCCTTGAAATGACCTACGGCATAATTGACTGTCAATAAGGCAATAGCGAGCAGCTTTAGATCGTAGTGCCCGAGAAGCTTTAGGATCTTCAGGCAATTTTTCAGGCCTTAAATAGTCTATAAACACATTTCTCTAGGCCCAAATCAGGTTGGTTAAGTTAACTTCACAATATCCGTCCATGTCCAAAATCGAATGCAATAGTTTAACGACTGCATTAGAGTCGGATCCTTTCGTTTTTGTGGATGGCCCTAAATTGTCCAATGCGCCTGCCTCTATGTTCTCTTCCCTTGGGATATGAATTATCGACCATTCCTGGAATCGAGAAAGTAACCCTTGAACTTTATTTACGTACTGCTACATACGCTCTTCTTTAGTCTTATGGACCCTATATACTTGATTTACTACCAGATGGGAGTCGCACTTTATTTCAATTACCTCGGAGCCTAGTCCCCCTCTAACTCAAGTCCTGCAACTAAAGTCTCATACTCGGCTTCATTGTTAGTCAAAGGTACAGTTCTAATGGTCTGTCTCAGGGTATCTCTCGAAGGAGTGATTAACACTATCCAAGACTGGACCCTTTTACGTTGGAGGCTCCATCCGTAAACAAGGTCCATACTCCAGAGGCAGTTCCCGATACCAAAACTGCTTCTTTAGCAGCTAAAGGCATCATTCCCGGACTAAAGTCAGTCACGAAGTCGGCCAAAACTTGTAACTTAGTCGCTGTCTGAGGTTTATATTGCATATCAAATGCACTAATTTCTACCGCCCATTTAGCCAGCAAATCTGACAATTTAGGTTTATGAAGGACCTCTCTGAAAGGAAAAGTCATCACAACAGCTATTGGGTGGCACTGAAAATAAGGTCTAAGCTTTAGAGAGGCAACTACGAAAGCTAGAGCTAACTTTTCCAGGTATGGATAATGCGTTTCCGCTCCCGATAAAATTTTACTAACATATTAAACAGGAATTGCGTACCATCTTCCTCCCGAACCAAGACTACACTTACTGCAACTTCTGAAACTGCTAAATAAATTAGTAATTGCTCACCTTCCTTCGGTTTGGACATTAATGGAGGGTTGGACAAGTACCTTTTCAGGTCTTTCAACACTTGCTGACATACTGGAGTGCACATCAAATCATTCTTCTTTATCAAAAGTGAAAAGAAATGATAGCATTTTCTACAAAGACCTTGATATAAATCTACTATGGGTCGCCAACCTACTAGTCAACCTTTGCACTTCCTTTACACTTGTCAATTGATCAGGGATATCCTCGATGGCCTTTATCTTTTCAGGAATTACTTCGACTCCTCTATAGAAAACCAAAACATCGAGAACTTTCTGGACCTAACTCTAGAAGCACATTTTTCGGGATGTTGTATTTCCTCAAAATGTCGAATGTCTCTTGTAGATGAGTCAAATGACGTCCTGCATTAAGAGACTTAGCCAGCATATCATCAATATAAACTTCCTTAGTTGTACCAATTTATTGTTCGAACATTTTATTAACGAGCCTTTGATAAGTGGCTCCGATATTCTTAAGCCAGAAAGGCATCATGTTATAGCAATAAGTGCCAAAATTTGTGATGAACGAGGTTTTTCTTAATCCTTCGATTGCATCCTAATTTGATTATACTCGAAACACACATCAAGAAAACTCATTAACTCATGCCCGGTCGTAGCATCGATTATTTGGTCAATGTTCGACAACGGGAAAGAGTCATTAGGGCATGTCTTAATCAAATCTTTATAACCTACACCCCCGAAATTTATTATTCTTTTAGGAACAATCACTATGTTAGCTAGGCGTCATAATAATTTACTTCACAAATTGAACCTATATTTATTAATCGGCTACCTCCTCTTTACCGAATATGTTCCTGATCTCGGCTACGGTTGTTTCTTTTGCTTGACAGGCGGAAAATTGGAGTCCAAACTTAACTTATGGACAACCACATCTAATGGGATACATGTCATATCAGAATGAGACCATGCAAACAAATCAAAGTTAGCTTTTAAAAACTCAATAATTTTAAGCCTGAGTTCGAGATTTAATCATGTTCCCAGGGAACTCCGTAAAAAAAGCATTTTGTTACAGTTCCTCTGCGGTAGACTTTGTATCATCTGCTTCCTCCGGTACCTTGAAAGATCTCGTCACCTTATAAAATTCCAATGACTCCCTTCCCATCATCTTCAACCGAAATAGAAGAGGACGCTGGTTCCTGTAGTCGCTATTTATTCACTCCTTCCGCCTTGCTGTTGGATAAGGTTGTTGCATCCATTTCCCTCATGAATCTCATAGGCTCGATTTTGAAAGGATCCTTAGTGTTATTGTCTTTCCCTGTTCCACTACCTGCACCACGTACCTCATTTTCATTAAAACCGAACCCCCTCTTGAAGCGATGTTACCAGTTCTTTGCATTGTTTGAGTTGCAGGCATGCTGGGAGGAACTCGAATTCCTCCATTGGAGTTATTGGAAGCAACCGAAAGCACCTGCTTCAACTCCGTCATTACCCGGTCTTATCTAAAGAGATAATTTATAATTTTTCTTTGTTGCTCTCTCAAAATTTTGACCGTTCAACAACCGTTCATCGTCCATATCATCAGGGGTTGGACTTCTCACATGCCGAGGATTCTATTCTTCGCAAATTTTATCTCCTTCGTTGCAAGTCTCACTAGTTGAATCATCACGTTGTTGTTTGTTCCAACATTGTAAGAATTGTTCACATCGTAAACTATCATATCTGATTTTTCTTTTACTAAAGAAGAGTGTCAAAATGCGTTAGCAACGAATGAATGGATCGAAGTAATAACACAATTGCCTATGCCCCACAGTGGGCGCCAAACTATTTACCCGTAAAACGGTGCAATTGAATGTAACGTGATTTATAGACTTAATTTGATTCAAGAATATAAAATAATCAAGAACAATAATAAGTTAATGAAAATAAATTTTACACAAACCTGATTGTGGGCTGAACTTCTCCAAGAGCAATAATGCAAACATTACGAAGAACAAAGTAAATAATATTATGTAGAATAAGAGCTTGTGTTGCCATTTTTTGTATACATAATGTTTCGCGCCTACAAGGAATATGAATTCTCCTATTTATAGCTCACTTTAGGGAGACAAGATTCCAAAATCAAGCCCTTCTTTAATACGAATAAAATCCCTCTTGATGGATGAATAACGACTGAGTATTAATGAAAAGATACTTTGTAACGGTTGCTCATTGAATGTTGTATTCCCCAACCGATATCTTTCCTTTAAATCTTTGTCCTCGATTTCACTATCTTTGGAACTTATCAAGTATCGGTCACATGTAGTGGCGGACGCAGGATTTTGTGCAAGCGGGTTCAATCTTAGAAGTACATAACTTTAGTGGTAAAATAGTAGTTATCAAGTGGGTTCAAATAAATAGTTATACAAAATTTACACAACTCTAACCGCAATTTATACATATACGCAGTGTTATTTTTTGATAAAGCGGGTTCAGTTGAACCCGCTTGCCACCACGTGCGTCCGCCTTTGGCATGTTCGTAACCGGTGCCAATTATTTGCTGACTCATATATTACTTGTATTTGCTTCCACGTGTCAACTCGTCGAATATCCACCTGTCATTTATTAATTTTACCCCATACAAATAGTCGGTTAGATTTACTGATTATTTTTTCAGCCGATATACATAAATTATATAATAATTATATGCAATTAAATATATATTATATATAAATTTTATATTTATTTATCTAAACTATATATATAAATTATATAATAATTATCAATGATTATACATATATATTCGTCCATTATTTTTAATTAAAGCAATTAGATAGACAGGTACTTAAGTTGATTCTTCAATACGAAAGGCGATTACTTGATGCTATTTCTACGTTTAATTCCCACCGTGAAGATATCGGGCCTTAAGACCTCCCCGCGGAGCCCTCTCCACGCATTAATATGCAGATCCGAAATAGAGGAACACAACAATTATTGAGAACGTCAAGAATTGTCCACTCAATTCCACGTACGACCCAACGTGTTAACTTCTACTGGCAACACGAACCTTTTCTAGACAAATGTCATCAACCCCTTTGCACAAATTCCTTATTTATTTCACCATCCAACAAAATTCATCTATACCAATCTAAAATCAAGAACAATAGGAATTTCTCAGTTTTTTTTCTCAAATGGCAAACGCAAGCGATGAGTTTAGGCTAGTATCGCCAAGCATAAATCATGAAGGAAAATTACCAAGAAAGTACACGGATGAAGGGCAAGGTGCTCAAAGGAGAATGTCACCACCTTTAGAATGGTATAATTTACCAGAAGGGACAAAAAGTTTGTCACTTGTGGTTCAAGATATTGATGCACCTGACCCAAATGGACCTATTGTGCCATGGGTTATTTGGGTTGTGACTAATATTCCACCAACTTTAAAAGGTTTGCCTGAAGGATTTTCTGGTAAAGGAGAGGAATTAGGTGGAGATTATGCTCATGTTAAAGAAGGGAATAATGATGAAAAAGTTCCTGGATGGCGTGGACCTAAGTTGGAAAATCATGGTCATAGATTTGAGTTTAAGCTTTTTGCTTTGGATGATGAGCTCCATCTTGGTAACAAGGTAACCTGCAATTTCTTATTTCTTAATACTCCCGTCTGTATCTGTTGTTTACGGTTTTGGCACATCAGTTATAAATTATATAATAGCAGTAAGTATAGGGTAACTTAATATCTTTAAATGAGTAATTAATAACTAAGGATAGGAAAAAATTTTGTTGATTCTTGAAATTCCACATAAATTAGGACGGGGGAGTACCAGTTTATAGGAAATGATTGTCGACTGGATCTGATTTTTGACATGTTTCAGCACTAGTACCGGACTTCGTATTATAAGTAACAGGCTCAATGGGACACAACGTTTTTCACTTTTGACACATAAATGTACATGAAAATCATTAAATCTTTAAAAAAAATACTAAGTTCATAATGAGAAAAGTGTTTTGTGTACTGGGTCTTGTGGTGAGAATAAAAGAATTGAATCAATATATTTTAAATTCTGAATTTGCCACCCCAGCAGGCGCAAGGAGATGCGCCACACACAAATTAAATAACTAAATTATTAAGTAATGTGGTTTCTTGGATGATTGGCAGGTGACAAAGGATAAATTGCTGGAAGCTGTTGAGGGTCATATTCTTGGAGAAGCTGTTTTGATTGCCATTAACTGAGATATTAGCAGTTACTAATTTCCAGATGTTCAGTATTTTCATGACTTTGTGGCATGAACTTGAACTAGCTAGTGTAATAAACAATTTGTGTTGTGCGGTTTTAATGTGAAGATGCATTTCAGTTCTGGTGTTGTCATCAGCCCCTAGTTGTGCTTCAAATAGTGCATTCATCGTACTTCTATTTCCAAAAAAAAAAAAACAGGGCAGTAAAATATAAGGATTTTTACGATATCAAATTACATTAACAGGCAACGAAACATTGACATTTGCGATACTTTCTGTGGAATCATTTAATTGGCCTTTGAAAATCAAACTGCAACTTGTATTTACGTAATCGGTTGTCTATTTGTAAATGTTTATCATAGATAGATTTAGCGGACCACGCTTGCTTGTAAAGCTCGCCGATTAGTACTATATTTTATGAAGATTATTAGGCAAAACAATATGATGCCTACGGCGGCAATGTAACAGTAAAGGAAAAAGAAAAGAAGCGAAGAAGTAAAATTAGGGCAAAATTTCAAAAACTTGATAACTACTTCTGACAGGACTATGAGTGTTGAATGAGAAAAAATCTATGGACCTAATTATAATTTATCAAATTTGCTTTAAGAAAGCTATAGGGACTAAATTGCTCACTTAACAACTTTCATCTTATTTCCCCTCCCTTGAAAGCTTCCTTAAGGAAGGAAAAGAGGAAAGCAAGTTTTCAAGGCTGAGTAGTCCTCCCAAGTAGCTCGATCAGGTGGCAGTTGGTCCTATTGTACTAGAACCTGTGCCACAACCTTGTTTCCTTTTTGGATTATGCGCCTCTGTAGGATTTTATGTGGCTGGGAACAATAAGGGCTTGACAATTCAACTATTGGGAGATGTGAGGTTGTTTATGGTAGCTCATGGCATTTCTTGAGTTGAGACATATGAAAGGTTGGGTGCAGCAATAGTTGAGGAGGAAGGGAGAGTTTATAAGCAACATTCTCAATCTTCTGTAGTATCTGATAAGGCCCGTAATACCTAGCTGAAAGCTTAGAAAATTGCCCTCCTGACATGGTGACTTATCTATATGGTTGAATCTTAACATCCACCCGGTCACCTCTTTTGAATTGTCTGTCCGACCTATGCTTGTTTGCTGGGTTCTCCATCCTCTGTTGAGCCCTCTTAAGGTGGTATTTAAGAAGTTGTATCTTGAACTCTCTCGTGAGTAAGCTTCTGTCTACTTCCTCCATGCCCGAGTCTCCAGCAGCATAAGAGAAGTGCAGGGGAGGAGGTTGACCATATAAGGCTTCATATGGTGTACACTGGACGGCAGAATGGAAGGTGGTATTGTACCATCCACCACATCCTTTGGTGGTACAGAAACACAATCTTTTATCAACAATCTTACTAAAGAACTGCTGGTTGAAATCTTCATTAGACTTCCAAGCAGCAAAGAAGCAATTCGATGCAAATTGGTGTGCAGGAGCTGGTTGTCTCTCATCTCCTCTTATTACTTCGTTATCTCTGGCATTAACCATCACCGGGATGATAAAAATCTCCCATTTGCCCTAGTTTTCCATGATAATCGGACATAATGTAGAATATGTAGAGTTTCTCTCTCAACATAGTTTATCAACAAATGTGGATATGAGGTTTCTCTCTGCAGGTCGGCGGCCGCAGAGTGAAATTTCTTTAGTAGCATCCTGTGCTGACTTAATTTTATGCTCTGTAAAAGACTACTCATCGACTAGTATTAACTATTATATTTGTAATATTCTGACCAAGCAATGGATTGTTCTTCCTCCAGCCCCTTCAGGGAGAGGAAATTGTGGTGAAACCGTTGGCTTTTTGTGTGAGCCTAAAGGAGGAAATAGTAATAATGTTGAATACGAGTATCTGGTGCTACGATTTCTTCCTCGTGTTCGGTCTAATCCTGATCAGTTTGATATCGAGATGTTCCATGGTAAATGGACCAAATTTGTTGTTACATCTCCAGGGATTGTGAATTCCATTTATCTTTGGACTTCACTTATTACCTGTGGGCAGATGTTATTTACACTGAATTATACGGTTAACTGTATTCTTGCATTTGATCCATTCAATGATCCTGCACAATTTCTGCGCATTATTGATTTACCACTTGAGGCTCGTGATATTCCTGGGCTATGTAAATTGGGAGTATGTCGAGGTCGTCTACGGTTTGCTCAAATAATTTTGCAATCAGGTACTCTAATTAGTTACCCTTCTATAAGAATATGGGAGCTTGAGGATTACAGAATGGGGAAATGGACATTGGTGTGCGAGAGTCTCTAAAAACAAAGCGTTAAGATGCCTTAATTCCCAAAACCCGGTTCATGTACTAGCTTTTCACCCAAATAATGAGGATCTTGTATGTCTTCTTGTAGGTTATCGTGTCGTTGTGTACAATACACTATTAGATAAAGTGGAAATTTCTAGCTGCCCTTCTCTACTCGAGGAGATGAGTCCGGTAAGATTAGAACTAATAGCTTATGGGTTACATGTGTTACCAATTGCCCAACAATGGTGGCCAACACGGGTACACCGAGGCTTCCTATCAAATAACGACATTGGTTATCTTGTTTAGAATTGTTGATCATGCTGTTATCTTTTTCTTCTTGCTCTTGGATTTGATAGCTCACTGGTTAAGATGTTTTAGAGCTATGTTATAGTTTTGAATTCTAAGCATATGCTGACTTGGAATCGTTTTACTTCTTGTTTTTCTTGGTAGTTAGCAAAGACCTTTTTTCTGGTTATGTAATCATACTTTTGCGAATTAAAGCTTATTTTGAACTTTCTAATTAATCATAGCAACACCCCCCCCCCCCCATCCTCCCCAAAAAAAAATCCACTGTTCAACAGGATCAGTGATTATGAAGTCTCACTTTTGTGGATGCTTCAGTCAATTTGAACGATAGAAATCAGGGGAAAGGAAATGTTTTGAACGATATAGTTACAGTCCCCTGCTATCTTTCTCTGAAATCTTCTTTCTTGCTCTGGTTAATAATTATGTTTGTTAATTTTCCTGTAATTTTGGATACTTGATCAGAGGACGATTAACTTTGATAACAATACTAAGATTAGCTACTTTACTTCCTCCCACCCCCCCCCCAACAAGTTGCAAGTTGGCCAACTGGGATTGGGATATTTTGTTGAAGCAAATCACTAAAGACTAATGGCAAATGTAAAATACAGGAAATATCTTCGCGTTAGGAGCAATGACGCAACTGTTAGATTTTTTCCTATTATGTAAATGGCCCAATATAACAAAGTCCGTAATTAATATTTAATAATAAATAAATCTTGTCCATCCAAACCGTATTCTATTCTTCTTTGCCATTGGTAAAGGCAATAATAACGAAATCTAAGACAAGGGACGAGATACTAATTTTAAGTAACACTTGATTATCGTAGCCTAAGTAGTCTTTCCTTGAGCAGCTAGCCATGTTATGAATTTGCTTGGGCTGAGCTACTGCGCCCCAATTAAGGTCAGCTATCTCCGATCTTCTCTGAGTCCCAATGATGGCAATAAATAATTGCCACCTAAACTCAGTATGTATCTATCATGGTAATACGAACTCTGTATCTCGTCCTTTGTATTCGAGTCTGCCTTCATATAAATGCCATAACTAATAACCCTAAAAGATAATCGTTCTTCGCAAACAGGTGGCAAACGGACGAGTCGAATCGGATATGGGACGAGTCGAAAACAGATAAATTATCTGACTCGATTGATATTTAATACGAATAATATGGATAACTATATTATGCATGACCTCTTGAATATGATCACTTTTGAGAGAATTTTTAATCTCCCAAACTTGAAAAACCCTTAATTTGAGACTTTACAAATATAAAAGTTAAACCCTTTATCCATGGATAATGGTTATCCATTTTCTAATTGGACAATATAATTTTTATCCATATTTGACCCGTTTTTAAAAAGTTCATTATCCAACTAATTTTTTAGTAGATAATATAGGTGATTAATTATTTTCTTTTAACCATTTTTTCATCACTATTCACATATAAAATAATAGATAATAGATTCCTATAGCCCCAACTCTGAGACATACTGTCATGCAAAGGAGTATTCTTTCGCTTGCGTGGCATGTACAGGCAGCTCAAATAGGTGTACCTAGTCGTTAGGAGTTAGTTATGGGCGGATAGAATGAAAGTTGTTATGTGAGCAGTTTAGTCCCTATAGGATTCTTAAAGCAAGTTTGATAAATTGTAATTTGGTCCATAGATTTATTCTAATTCGACACTTATAGTCCCTGTCAGAAGTAGTTATCAGTTTTTGTTTTGTAGTGAGTAGTGGAGTCTATATGTAAGCCTCATTGTGCTTCAGATGGTATCAATTTGAAAACCCCTTTTAATTTTGCCCTAATTTTACTTCTTATCTTCTTTTCTTTTTCCTTTACTGTTACATTGCCGCCGTAGGCATCAGTGGTGCCAGAGCATCTTCTTGGCTCTGTGGGAGACCATGGCTGGAGAATCTAATGAGGTCATAGACATGCTACATAAGATGTCTGCAGATATGTCTAGCTTCATAGCTCGTCAAGACCAGCTTGAAGCTTTTCAAGTGCAGACCTACAATAATCATGAAGAAGCTGTCAATGATTTGAGAGAAGTGCTTAATAAGGTTATACATGGCAGCAGAAGACTTGAACGCGGCAAAGACACAGATCCACGAGGAGGTGAGTTGTATTCTCCTAGTGATCTTCCTTTCAATATAAGAGAAATGGCAACTCCTAACTACATGGGAGGAACTTGCTCAGTTTCATCAAATGTTTCACTTCCTAGCAGTACTCCAACTTCAAACCTTGTACCCCCTGCTCGAAAAATTGTTATGGGAGTAAATTGGACTTCTTCTGGACCTTCGAACCAAACACAGCTGAACCCTAGCTTACAGAACCCCAACACAACCATAAGAACTCAACCTGCTATGTTAGGCACACAAGGACCCTCCGGTCCTTACTCTCCTTAACCCAGAACTCTACCAGCTCCCTTTTATCTTCCTCCTGAAGCTCACAGAAATCATTATACCAGCCTTATCAGCATTCTAACACCCCTAATCGAGTTCAATACCCTTACAACCCCTATAATCAGCCATCACACTACCCTTTAGCCTACCAAGTATCC